ATAATTCATCTCGTGCTTAATGAATTCAAATTGCGCAGGGTTTCCCAGCAACAAATGTCAATCTGAAGCGGCTGCATCTCCGGAATTAAACGGGTTTATATAGAGGCAATCACATATATGCTGAAAATTTTAAATACGCAATTTTAAAACTTTCACGCAGTTCCATTGCGAAAAATTTGGAAGTTTTCAGTTTTTCATTTCAATTTTATTCAGAGCAGATTGCCCTAGGCTACTCGAAAAAAACGAGACCTGTTTTGTCTCCTTGTTAAAGTACTGTATTTCATTTACGTTTCATTTACACGCAAGACATTCTTTGCTTTTTGAGCTCCTTTTTGAGCCCATTGGTCGTTCTGCGTGTTCATTTTTTAAAGCTTGAAGTTGATAATGAATTTATTCAAGTTATTATGATCCTCCTGATTAAATTCATGGAAAAATATGATCTGACATGTGAATGTTCTGACATGGCACGGTCAAAGCATAATTTACTTCCCCATTTTTGGGGCTCCATTTTGTACAGTATTTCGAAAGGAAGGACAAATCCCTAAATCAAATTATTCTCAAGTTCCTGTTTGAATTCCAGTGGGAAACAATGCATTCAACCTCCTTAACTCAAAGGCTTTCCTATTTTTTACCTAGCGCAATCTTATGGCTGTGAAATCTTTTTTTCAAGTCAAGAATGAAAAATTTTCAACAGATTGTGACATGGATGGAAAATGCTAGCCAAAACTGGAAATTTTTCACTTATTGTCTTATTGCAGTATATCTAAAAACTTAAAAAAAAAATCTGAAAAATATCCCATCAGAACCTTAACCCTTGGATGGCAGCAGCCTCCTTTCCATCCCAGGGCAAAGTTGGATGATTTCCCAATGGGCCTGCATAACTTTTTTGCACAAGGTTATGCAACTCCTGCCAGGTGGGGGAGGGCAAAGTTGGATTTTATCTGGGGATAAATAAATGCTGGGAAAGTCCTGAGTCGGACTTTTTCTGTATTGACCTCTATACCTGGGCTCCTGACTTTCAAGCTTAAATTTAATTTGAATTGGGAAACAATACAAGGCCAGGGGGGAAAAGGGAGCCTAGAAGTTTTCATTTTTTCATTTTCAGGTGAAATTTTTCTGTGGGAAATTTTAAAAATTTCAGGACTTTTCCCAACTTCACCCTGCACACATTGTTAGGGTTTTTTAATTCCACTCTTGAGTGCAACCAAAATCCGCAAAAAAAGTCTGACTTTGCCGCAGAAGGGTTAAATGTGGCTGAGCTGAATGGTAGATTTTTTGTTTCAAAGTGGTACCTAGTCTAGAAATACAGGTACTTTCCTGTTATCTCAGTACCTCCAAAATCAGTTTCTGCTTTCTTTGGGTTTCTACTGAAACTGATTTTGAGAGGCGGTTAGGTTAAGTTAGGTTAGATCAGGTTATGCCTCCCAAAAACTGATTTTGGGAGGCTGTTAGGTAAAGTTAGGTTAGCTCAGTTTATGTTGATTGGAAGATATTTGTAACTAACATAACCTGACCTAACCTAACTTTACCTATCTGCCTTTCAAAATCAGTTTCAGCAGAATGCCAAAAAATGAAATTCACAGTTTCTGGTAGGTGCATGGAAAGTAGGTATACTGAGATAGCAGGAAAGTACCAAAATACCCAAGGTCAATCAGAAATGGGGACAACCTTCCTATACTTGTATGTGTGTATGCATGTACAGTATGCGTATACATACATTTATTCGTTAATCCGTTCCAGGAGACTTGCAGCCCGCCTGTATACATGTGTGCTCATCCGAGAATGCTGCTGAGCCCTGAGTGATCACACGTGCAGAGCACAGCGTTCAAGGCGATCCGGCGATCAGTCAGCGGAATCCCCTTTTCTACGCCCGCCCCTTTTGTCTCTCTGCTGCTGCTGGCGGGTATTGCGGGTTGCGTGCGAGGAAACAATGGGTGAGCACTCGGGGGTCACCTGCGACTCTTGCAAGACGGCGGACTTTAAAGGTCTGCGGTTCAAGTGTCTCAAGTGTTTCGACTTTGATCTGTGCCAAACATGCGCCACGCAACCCGGGGTCCCATCAGCGCAGGGACGAGGAGCTGCTGCAGGGGTCGCTCATCGTCTTCACGCTGCGGATCATCCCCTGCAGGTTTTTTCTTATGATGTGCTGCTCGTTTTTCTTGTTTTCTTCCTTGCTTCTTGTTTTCTTGTTTTTTTTTTTGCGCAGTTTTAACTCAGCAGTCAGTGCTGGTGGATGAGTTTTTCCCCAGCAAGCTGCGTTTTTTTTTTATGGTTTCCTGCTGGTTTATTTCTTTGGTACTTTTACTTGGTTATTTTTTCACTGGGTTATTAGAAATACTTTCAAAATTTGGTGTCATGCAGCATCAAATATTCACAATAAAAATCTGGATCAGGAGAGCCTAAGTTGGGAAAAATCCCAAATTTTTAAAACTTTTGGCAGAAAAATTTTGCTGAAATAAGTTCCCTGCAGGGTGGAATTTTTCCAGCATTTCTGCTATAGGATTTGTATAGTGGGGGTCCAAATAACAATAACTTCAACTTTCCCTGACTTATTGGCTGTCCAGTCGAGACTGCCTTTTGGTTACCTTAAATTGAGCCAAACCAAAATTCCCAAGTCCGCAAAAATATATTTGCAGCTCCACTGCTAGATGGAAATTAACCCCCTACCATACAAGCGTTAACAACTGCTGAAGATGCTCAAGAGTAATTAGAAAGAGCATTATCAGTAATTAGCAGGGGGGTTTCTTAGTTTTCTATTGGCTGGAAAAAATTTGGGTTTGCTTGTATGTTGGGCTGTTTTGGGTTGACATAAGAGATCACTGAAACAATGAAATTCTGGCTGAGCTTTGCTGGGCTAAATCAGGAAGTTTTCAAATGATGTGGGTCAACAGATAGTACATTGGATTTTTAGTTCACACCACTCATCACCTGAGTCGTATCTCGTATGGGTGGAGGGCACAATTATTTTGCCTATGCTACTCAATAAATTGCCTTGGAAAAATGTGCAAGCAATTTTTAACATACAGAAAAATCTTGTTACAAGAAATATTGTTGATGATTATGATGAATTATTGGTTTCAAAATTTAATTTTGTAGGTTCTTGCTCAGCAGTAGCAATAATCTTATTCGAATCGTTTAAGAATGCAATTTATCACTATGATGAAGCGTTTCCCTGGTCTTGAAAGCTTCTTTGCATATAAAGATATTTTCACTGGATTGGAGTTTTACTGCTGTATAGTACTGTACTTGGAATTACCACTTCTATTTTTGACTAGATATCAGCACCCGAAACCACAAAACTGATCCCGCTGTAAATATGCTAAACATGCAACAACCAAGCATGCGAATAAAAATGCTACTAAACCAAACGAGAAAGAATTATCTGGTTTATAAAAAAAAGGTCACGAGAAACCTGATCCTAAAAAAAACTACCTGCCACCAAAGCTAGAAAAGAAAAGCTCACTCCTAAATGGCACTTGGATGATTCTAGAAGATACTTTCATTCTTCTAGTAATATGCGAAATTGTTGTCTTCAAAAACTGAAGAGGGCAAAACAAAGAAAATTGAGACATGCTTTCGACAAAAAGTGGACTACTGAGTAGTGTTCTGCCACATGAGCACAAAAAAATGGACGTACAGTTCAAAATGACCAAAAAAGCAAAATTTTTTGTTACTTGGTTCCTGCTGGAAAATATATCTTGATTGTGGATTTGTGGGGAATAAACCTCTGCTTTGTTCCTGTAAGTGGTTTTTGTGGGAGGAATTAAATTCAGTTCCTGATGGGATCATTGCTTGTTTCCTAATTTGATTTCCTCAAGGTATCAGGTCCATGAGATGTGGTCATTAAAACGAGTAATTTGTTTCTACGAGGGCAAAACAAAAGTTCTCGGGATATTACTGGAACCGGCACTGTTCAGAAACATCATTATTTGACACTCGAAAGAAAGTCAGCCTATTGTTTAAAATATTTCTGCATCCTTTTAAAAAGTGACCCTGGCAATTTTCTGCTCTCCACTCAAAAGATGAGGCACTGATCTCGAAGATTTTTTTCATTGCACTTCAAGTTTACCTTCAGAGATTTTAAAATTGACATGGCATTAATTCCAAGGGTTGCGTCCAGGTCTTCCAAGGTACTGTAATTCCGACATTTTCATCAAAAGCCGCCACATAAGCATCCCGAGTGGCGGCTGCACACCAAAAAATCTACGAGATGGGCGCCTCATCTTTTGAATGACGAGCAAAAAACTGCCATCTTTCGCACACACAAAATCCAAAAAGATGTGAAGCAGGGCTGGATTATTTTCCTTGTGCCGAATGTTTTTTTTCTGATCAAAAATTGTTTTTCAGCTCAATGATACACCATTTCAATTGCTATTACTAAAAAATTTGTTGGACCCCTCGTATGTTCATTTACATGACCATATAGTTGTTGCATCCCATCGAATCTGACCTGACTGGAATAAAATTTGTTTTGGAAAATAGTGCTTTTTGTTTTTGATGCTATAGTAGCATTTGAGGAAACGTGGCATAACAACTTTAGCAGTACCGTCCTGTCATTCTAGTGGAATGGGAAGTATATAGTGGTTAGCTGTAGTTACTGGCTGTCATTCCATACATGGCCCTGTGATCTGAAGCCCAGCAGACATCCCATGGGAACCCATTCCACGAGCATGGCCCAAGGAATGAGGTCTATTGTTATATTTCGTATAACTCTTTTAAAGCACGAGAAAGGTGCAAAATTCGTCCTCAGGGAAATCTCTTCGAGATTTCCGACGGAATCCCGACAAGTTCGCCAACTCTTGCACAATCCCATCTACGGGTGAAGAATGATTCGATTTCCTTGAGAATCCCTTTCTTGCTTTACTGTATTTCCTACGATTAAAGTCTTCGTAATTTCGGAGACTTCTAATTACTTGTATATTGAATGCGTCTTCAGTGCGAAAAAAGCTAGAAGTTGGCACATGGAGATATAAAGAAAGGAAACATTTTTCGAATGATTTTTTTCGGCGGCAATTACATTGACGCTTTCTTCATAAAACTTCGATATCTTGAATTTGAAGAAACGGATTCCGTCAGGTTTATTTCATTTCCATGCATTCAAGTCTTCATGTAATAAAGTATAAGTACCAATCTAAAGGCTTCTATAATGACAAAAATTAAATTCGTCATCAGAACAGCGACAGATGAATGGATGATTTTTTAATGAAACTCTGATGTCTTGAAGTAAAAAAAAAAAGGGGGATTCCGCGGAGTTCATTTTATTTCCAATGTGAAAATATTTTGCATTTATTCAAATGCTTCTGAAGACAGTAAATGAATTGATCATGAGATGGAAGAAATTTATATTGATAATTTCTCAACTAAACTCTGATAAGTGCTGAATAAACAAAAAATATGAATTCCAGCAAGGACGTACAATTTTTCCAAGGATAGAAATCTTCATAGATTGAAGGCTTCAATGATGACACCAATTAAATACGTGATTGGAACGATGACAGCTATATTAATAATTTCTTTTTAAAAACACGGATTCCGTGGGGTTCATTTCATTTCCAGCTATTGACGTCTTCATTTATTTGAAGACGCTTAATGACATTAATTGAAATTCATCATCAGCGAGAAAAATCAAGAACGCGGCCTCATGGAAGAACAGAAAAACACTTATTGCATGTCGAGATTCATTAATATTTCAGTCAGAAAACGAAAGCTCGTCAAGCTTTTGAAAGACATGGTTTCTGTACTTTTCGGAAGAAGTTTGCCGGAAATTATGAAACCTGAGAATAAAAGTACTGAGTTGTCTGCAAGAGGTTCTGTATGAATGGATGCGTCTTGAATGGAAATTTGACTCATTGTTCTGAGTTTATCTCTTCTTCTTTTTTTGTGGTTTTGTTGATGAAAGAGAAAAACTTTCTTGCGATGAGTGAAACCGGGAAATAAATGGGGAGAAAATATAAATAGTCGAGGACCTATTCTGGGGGTTCTCCTTCTTCTCCTCTGCTTTTTTTTCCCCCCCCAGTCGTGGCCACCAGGTCATCCATCACCTGGTCAAGGCTGGTTGGACGCGGCTGAAAATCTCTCCTCACTATACTGTTGAGGCTCTCGTCGGTAAGAATAAACTTTCTAGCTTCCTCCTGGAAAGCATTTTGCCGAGTCTAGAGACATTTCCATTTGGCATTCTCTTCTCCCCCCCCCCCCCCCTCCTCTTTTTTTTATTTTGTAACATTTTCGCGAGATCCGTGTGGCAGACAGGTTCAATCCCGGCTTTCTTGTCCCGGTCAATATCTGCGGCTGTCGTTTCTCTTATTCCGACCATTCTCCGATTCGAAGTCGGAAACTTGCTCATTCATCAACTCCGTCCTTTTGGAGAGAAATTTCAGGGGAAAACGAAGAGATTTGTAAGAGAAACTTCTGGAATTGTACGGGAAAACTGAAGGATTTTTGGACGAGGTCTGACTTTGTCCGGAGGAATTCCTTTGGGAATCGGTCACTGAGAAAAAATTCGCAGAAACTTGCTGCCATTTATCGGACGAATGCGTCACCTGAGTCATCACTCGAATTCTATCCGAAAGGGAAATAGGACTGCAAATAATTCATCATTTTTTTCACGTTTGTGACACTGCCTTGGAAAATAGAATGACCTGTGTCTCGAATTCTATTCGAGAAGGAATGCAGTTATACAATAAATTTCACCTTTGAAAAAATGCCTATATAGCAGCATTTTAATTTTTCAAGTTTCATTTATTGATTTTTGTGTTCGTGTATTACGAAAGAATAATCGCATTCCTTCGTCCGGAAAAAATAAACGCTTTCGTGCCGAATCTCGCATAAGAGGAAACATGTTTACGCTATTGAAAAACGACTCAGTAATCCGACGTCTTGCTAGTGTTAGTGTTTGCAGAAGGTCTTGACCTTCTGGAACACTTCTGTAAAGCCCTGTACAAAGCACTTGTTTTCCAATGCAACATCCCACACTGTGTTCTATACCGAAGATGTTCGTTTATTCAGACCCCGTCGAGCAATTTCCTTTCAAGTAGTCCCAAGTTTGATTTTCGAGTGTGAAAGCTTTTTTGTACCAGCTTGATGCACAAAATTGATTTAGAATTTTTTTACACACTCATTATAGTTACTCAAGTCTTCCTAAAAATATAGATACATTTTCGGAACCCAGAAATCTTACGATCGATAACATAATAATCATTTTATGGATTTTTCGAACATGCGTATATCGTTCATTCTAATGCGGAGGTATTTATTAAAAATTCAGTTTTCTTCCTGCATGGTACCGTATATTTTTTATGTTTAAAATTTATGTTACTCATAACTATGCTGTTGATGAGCAATCTCTTTTGATGCATATCTACAATTATAAATTTAAAACTCAGTTTTTAAACTATACAGATTGTGAAAATACGAACAGACGAAGGAAGAGACTTTCAATTATAAATTAAAAATTTCACGGTTATATTTCATTTCATACGTACATCTTATGAATTTTTGGACAGCAGCTTTTTGGGAATCTTTTCCAGTTGAGCCTCTTCTTATCGAATTTTGAAAATAAGTTCAGAATGTAGTGAAAACTTGGCCACGTATCGAAGTCACCTACTGAAAAACTTTTCATTACTTAATGCCCTCGTGTGACTGAACTCACAGCATTGTTTACCTTATAATTATATACGGTATAAAGATCTACTGTTTAAAAACGGATTCCGATCATTCTAACCGCCTATGTCAACGAGATGACATATCTCTAAAAAAATTGCTCAGAATGAGTTCGGAAATGCGAAAAAATTGAGTTCCGTCATCCATGTTCAAAAAAGACGTTCATATCAGTTATATAGGAAAGCGATTATATTTCAACTATCTTAGCATAAAATACACCAGTAGTACATTTCTTGATGGAAAAAAGGGGCTCAACAACCGAATAATCGAATTATTAGAAGAACAAATCCATAGAACAATAAATATACTCTACAGCTCTTGCACAATAAAGCAAAAATTTTCAAAATGAAAATGAAAATTGTGTAAAAGTGTCGTGTATCAAAACTTAAAACCCCATTTTTTTGGTTCACATACATCGTCAATTAGCTGTATTGTGAACCCATGCTCTTGCTGTTCAATGCTGATGTGCTGTTTCTTTATAAAATAGCAACAGTTCTGTCGTATATAATGAAGCAAATTTTATACTTGAAAAAATAAATTAAAGCCAGACGTTTCCTTCGACGATTTTCTTCTCTTCGACATGCGTGGGTTTTCTGATTTCTTCAATTGCTGGAAACAGGGAAATTGCATTACTTTTGCTCCCCAGAGCATTATGGTGCCGACGGAGTACTCGAAGTTCTACGGAGGTGAGGAATTCGACGCGAATCGTCCTCTGTCACTGACGTGTGCCTACTGCAACGGACTTGGATTCGACATCTACGAACTCAACAGGGTTTGAATGAAAAATAAATATTGATCAGATTTTCAATGCTGGCTTTTCTCTTATGGGAAACAGTCTAAAAACGTCGTTATCATTGTACAAGGCAGATCAACTGCTGTTTCTTGAAACAGTTGATCCTCTCTATTAAATCGAATTTTTAGGGGCTACGCATTTTTAAAAGTTTTGTTTCAATGTTGGCAGGAAATATATGGCCGTACTCTACTTTGAGATTATAATTTTTATTTTTATTTGTTTGCGACAGCATTTGAAGGAAGAGCATAGCAAACCGCCCCAGGGTTCAAGGGTTTTGTGCCCCATTTGTTGTGCCAGCAACTTGACGCCAGATCCGAATTTATTCTACTCAAATTTGGCGAATCATTTCCGGTCGACACACGAGAATGACGCGATGCGACAGCGTCGAGCTGAACTCATCCACATGCACGACGTTCGTCAGCGGAGCCAAAATGAAATGGTAAAATTAATATTTGTGCATTAATCACTTACGAATTATTTTTTTCGCTGTGAACAAGTTCACGGACTTATCGTGAAGGTATTTGAGAAATTTCCTTCCGAAAGAAATGTCTTGCAGTTGAATTAGTAACATGAAAACCAGCTGCCCTTTTAAAAAGCCATTGAAGCTTTTTTTCGAATTTCAAGACAAGCGGTCTACTCTTCGAATTTTCATTTGGCATCAGAATTCGAGAGGCTTCTTCAAGTTTGTTGTTTAGTAGAAGAAACTTGATCTCGAAAACTCAACACCGCTGGGTATTATAGAAGTACAGTATCATCTAAAAGACATATCGATTTATATAACCTCACCTAATATACGCTGGTTTTTGTAAAATCTTTTTGAATCAAAAAAAAAAATCTTGCAGAGCTTCATCATCGAAAAGAAAATATTGTTCTGAAAATTAGATAAGAATAAAAATCACTGATTTTCGCTTTTAAAAAATTGAAAATAGTATGAAGCCAGCATACGTAATTACATCCAGAAATTGAGAATTTTAAAGAAATTTTTTCAACCGTGGATGCACCAAAATGCAAGTTGATCATAACAGAAAACTGTACGGTTTCAACTTTCAAGTGACTCGAAATTCAAATTATGCAGCCCTCCCTTTTTTTTCTTCGCAATTTCGATGGAATATTTGAACATGTTGTTTATTCAGATGGAGAGTTCTAAGAATTCCAGCGATTACCTATTGCATTGTATTGAAATTCCATGCGTGCTGATCACATTTTTTGTAGATTTCCCTATTTATTATTCAGAAGAAAGAAAAAAAACGCTAATGCGTTGTATTGAAATTCCATGCGTGCTGGTCACATTTGTTAAAAATTGTATCCCAGTTCATTATTCAGACGAATAAGAAAAGAAACGCGTCGGTTGAATTTTTATTCTCCTGCTTGAAACTATGCACAGCGTCGGGGCCCATCGACGACGGCTGCTGCTGCTAGTCGACCTGGCCCAGGTCAGAACGTCATCGTCGACCCAGTTTCTGCCTCCGTGCAGATGCCGCCTCTGCTGATGACCCCTGCCAACGACTCGGGGACGGACGAGTTGGCTGACCCAGTCTTAATCCCGGCCAGACAAATGCTGGACAGCCACAGCAGCAGCCTGAGCAGCTCCAACAACAGCATGAGCATCAATCCCTTCGTCGGAACGAGACGAGGGTTGCAGTTTCTTCACGACAGATTACGCGTGGCAACCCCGATGGGCGGGCTTCCGGGTACGTCCTCATCGCCCCGAGGTGTATCACGTCCTGGCACCGGTAATAATAACAATACCCAGCAAGGACATCGTCGGCCGATTTTTGTGAGTTGCTGCTGAAGTTTCCGTTATTCTGTGAATTGTCGTCCTGAGTAAATTGCACGCACGTGATTGTTAAATTGAGTTGATTTTGTTTAAGACACTTCGCTTAGTATTGGTACAGGTTCATCAGAACCATTAGGATAATATGAATTTGTTTCAAAAACCAATTTTTATGAGTTGCTGAAGTCCCTTATTTTCCGAGAATTTTATTTTGAATAAACTGCACGCGCGGGATTTTAAAATTGAGATGCATACATTTCAGATGTCCAGTTGTATTTCAGAGAATTGTATTTTCATTTATTTTTGTGATCAATTTGTGCTCTGTTTCCTGCTCTGAAGTGATTAAATGTCATTGAGTGTGGATTTGGGTTGGGTGGGAAGGGGGTTTAGTTGTGGAAATCTTGATTGAACCTTGTGAATGCTGAAAAGCGGCAAATTAAGTGTTCTGTTCATTCATTTAATCATAAAATTGAGATGACCTACTTTGAGGACAATTTGCTTGGTTCAGGGTCATCAGAACAATTAATGAGAACAGTATGAATTCGTTTCCAAAACGAAAAAAAAAGTCTAGTATAAAATTAACATGAATGTTCATGAACCAATTATTCGCGCATTAAACTGCTGCAACTCATGAGATCATCCTCATTAGTATTTTCAATTCTTCGATCATGTCAAAAGGTACAAATACACGATCGAGACCAAATGAGAAACTTGATCGGAATGATAAACTTCTTTAAAAAATTAAATGCCATATTCTTGATTGGATTCAATTCTTCAAACAAAAATCGAGAATGCCACAAACTAATGTTCCTGTACATGAAATAAATGGCCGAAATTTAGCAAATCTGTCTCGATGAGTGATCTGAATGTACTGTACATTCACAGATACTGTAGTAGTTTCTATATGTTTGTTTACAGATTCCTTTTTTGAATAACTTTGATGTATTGATGTGCAATGTTCAAAATTAGATTTCGGCACTTCGTTGAAGATGCAATTTTCGTTTACGCCGCAAATCCATTGATTTATCCCAATTCTTTATAATAAAAAAATCTATTGGACTGGAGTTGAACCGCAGATATTTTCATAAATCTCGACGAGCGACAGATTTTAAACCAGTTTGGTTCAATCAAACAGTGAATTTGTTGGAACGTTTTCATTCGCTGCGTGTAATTTAAATTTTAAAATAAGTATTGGTGAAATCTTGATACAGCGTGACCGATTCCTCCCTGATAATTCGCACGTATATGAGAGACACGCTTAATTCCGCATTTTCCCTCAATTCTCTCTAGACAAAAAAAGGGAAAATATTTTGATAAATTCTCAATGAAAATCCGTCGTGTCGAGATTTCGGGATGAAGGAAATTCCAGTGATTCCTTCCACAAACAGGGACCAGTCAGTTTCCGGTCACAGCGTCTGCCGAATTCATCGTCCCGTCATCACCTACCGACCATGAACATTGCCAGAATGAACCTGATGGAAACGACAACGGGTCAAAGGTCACGCCGAAACGCTGGTGTTTTCGCATTGCGGGGAATTCCGGAATCATCCGCGACGGTGACACAACAAGCATCACCATCATCAGAAGGTGTAGCACCAGCAACGACAACGACAACAACAACAACAGCCACAATCATAATGACACCAACGACGACAAGAGAAATGCAACCGTCTTCTGGCGTGAATCTCGGCTCTTCGTCATCTGCGGCGACGAGACCTTCTTCATCCCGCACAGGAGGACTGCAATGCATAGCGGAAGTGCCAGAATCGGTAGAAGTTCCCGCAGGACAAGGAACAGGAACTGATCCGGTTTGGAACAACATTGCTGGTGGGGGATTCTTGGGATCTAGTGTATTATTGGACGAAGCCATGTCTGTTGCTGGTGCCAGTTACCCGCAGCCGCGAATGGGAAGCTTGGCGTCTTTCATTGCTGAATTGGATACGGCGGCGTTACAGTAGGTTTTGCTGATTTAAAATACCGCATTTTTTCCCAATAATGATCAAAACAAAGAGCAGGCATATGAGTTCATTTTGGTGTTCAACAAAAGACACTCATACGTGAAAGTTTTCCCAAATTTAGAAGGTTTTTAACCCTTCCACAGCAAAAGGTTCTTTCCCATTGCGCAGCGAGGTCAGCTTTTTCCGTATGCTGTCGCATTTTAATATTTCTGGAGGTCATAAAACCTCCGCCAAGTTGGGTGAGGCAAAGTAAAACAAAATTGAGTTTGGGGTCTCTTGATTTTTACAAAGTTGGACTTTTCCTGGATTGACCTCCCAAGTAGCATTACCTTCACATCCCAGAATGAAAGCCACAAAACCGGTTTAAAATGTTGTCTGCTCCTACAATACCTTCAAAATTATTTTGATAAGATCTTGAATCCAGCATCCACAGGGAAACATTCCATAAATGTATTCCACCACAGCTTTTTTTCCTTCAGCTGTTCTTTTTTTAATGCTTTCTTAAATCTTCTCCAGGGCTGCTTCTTACAGCTTTAATTTCTCAAATGTTTCACAAATTCCTTTTTAAGGAGCAGTGCAAGTGTCTGAATGAAAGAAGCAAGCTTTTTCTGCCACAAAAATGAAAGAGGATTAAGAAGATCAAAATGGACTTGTCTCAAAGGTACCAGGACACTTTGAGGATAGGAAAAAAATGCCTCAGCCCTGTGAAAACTTTTTTTTTTCAGAAAAAGTTTTCGGTGTATGGTGCAAAAAAGCACTGTGATTTTCCTAAACTTTGCAGTCCACTCCCTGGACTACATTTTTTTATCAGCCCCAAAGGTCACTAAATTTTGCACAAAAAAAGTCTGACTTTGCTGCCCAAGGGTTAATTGCTGCTCAAGAATTACACAACAATGTGATGATGGCATATCAGTAATGTTTTGCAGAAAGTATACCTCTGAACTCGCAGATTTCTGGCCTAAACACAGCAGAATCTCAAGAAAATTTGACCATTGAATTGCAGGAGGTCAAATTGTTACCCCTGTACCTCACACAAGTGTTATTGAGGTTTACCTGTAATTTGATCAAAACTATAGCTCAAAGTTGGAAAGACCCAAATTCAACCATCAATTTTGTTTTACCATTAAGATACATTTTGATGCATATATTATACAGTATTCAAATAATGGCTGGTCCTTTGTGTTACAATTTAAAACAAAATTTATTTTTGATTCAATGAAGGACTATTCCAAATGGTGGAAAAATGATGACGCTTCCTGAAGAATGTTCAATATCAAGTTAAGCTAACCCGGCAAAGCATATCTTGAATATTTTTCTGCCGTGATTTTCTAGACGAAAGGTGCACCTCCCGAGTAAGGAGCTGTTATTTGTGTGGCCCCACAAATGGTTCACACTGGGGTTAAAAGCATGCACCTCTGTAAACAAAATGTTGCTACCATTCCTGGGCTACATTTGGTGCACAAATGTGACATAACAGGAGTATCACAGAAATGCACCAACTGTAACCTTGGTGTAACTTATTTGTTTACAAATGCGACCCTGCCGCAGTGCCTA